TCTGATCCGCGGGGGTCCCGTCGTGTCCATGGACTAGTCTACAGCCTATCTGATCTGCGGGGGTCCCGTCGTGTCTACAAACTAGTCTACAGCGTATCTGATCCGCGGGGGTCCCGTCGTGTCTATGGACTAGTCTACAGCCTATCTGAGCCGCGGGGGTCCCGTCGTGTCTATGGACTAGTCCACAGCCTGTCTGATCCGCGGGTGTCTCGTCGTGTTTATGAACGAGTGCACCGCCTATCTGATCCGCGGGGGTCCCGTCGTGTCTATGGACTAGTCCACAGCCTATCTGATTCGCGGGGGTCCCATCGTGTCTATGGACTAGTCTACAGCCTATCTGAGCCGCGGGGGTCCCGTCGTGTCTATGGACTAGTCTACAGCCTGTCTGATCCGCGGGGGTCTCGTCGTGTATATGGACTAGTCCACAGCCTATCTTATTCGCGGGGGTCCCGTCGTGTCTATGGACTAGTCTACAGCCTATCTAATCCGCGGGGGTCCCGTCGTGTCTATAAACTAGTCTACAGCGTATCTGATCCGCGGGGGTCCCGTCGTGTCTATGGACTAGTCCACAGCCTGTCTGATCCGCGGGTGTCTCGTCGTGTTTATGAACGAGAGAACAGCCTATCTGATCCGCGGGGGTCCCGTCGTGTTTATAAACTAGTTCACAGCCTGTCTGATCCGTGGGGGTCCCGTCGTGTCTATGGACTAGTCTACAGCCTATCTGAGCCGCGGGGGTCCCGTCGTGTCTATGGACTAGTCCACAGCCTGTCTGATCCGCGGGGGTCCCGTCGTGTCTATGGACTAGTCCACAGCCTGTCTGATCCGCGGGTGTCTCGTCGTGTTTATGAACGAGTGCCCAGCCTATCTGATCCGCGGGGGTCCCGTCGTGTCTATGGTCTAGTCTACAGCCTGTCTGATCCGCGGGGGTCCCGTCGTGTCTATGGACTAGTCCACAGCCTGTCTGATCCGCGGGTGTCTCGTCGTGTTTATGAACGAGTGCCCAGCCTATCTGATCCGCGGGGGTCCCGTCGTGTTTATAAACTAGTCCACAGCCTGTCTGATCTGCGGGGGTCCCGTCGTGTCTATGGTCTAGTCTACAGCCTGTCTGATCCGCGGGGGTCCCGTCATGTCTATAAACTAGTTCACAGCCTGTCTGACCCGCGGGGGTCCCGTCGTGTCTATGGACTAGTTCACAGCCTATCTGATCCGCGGGGGTCCCGTCGTGGTTATAAACTAGTTCACAGCCTGTCTGATCCGCGGGGGTCCCGTCGTGTCTATGGACTAGTCTACAGCCTGTCTGATCCGCGGGGGTCTCGTCGTGTATATGGACTAGTCCACAGCCTATCTGATTCGCGGGGGTCCCATCGTGTCTATGGACTAGTCTACAGCCTATCTGAGCCGCGGGGGTCCCGTCGTGTCTATGGACTAGTCTACAGCCTGTCTGATCCGCGGGGGTCTCGTCGTGTATATGGACTAGTCCACAGCCTATCTTATTCGCGGGGGTCCCGTCGTGTCTATGGACTAGTCTACAGCCTATCTGTTCCGCGGGGGTCCCGTCGTGTTTATGAACTAGTCCATAGCCTGTCTGATCCGCGGGGGTCCCGTCGTGTCTATGGACTAGTCTACAGCCTATCTGTTCCGCGGGGGTCCCGTCGTGTTTATGAACTAGTCCATAGCCTGTCTGATCCGCGGGGGTCCCGTCGTGTCTATGGACTAGTTCACAGCCTATCTGATCCGCGGGGGTCCCGTCGTGTTTATAAACTAGTCCACAGCCTGTCTGATCTGCGGGGGTCCCGTCGTGTCTATGGTCTAGTCTACAGCCTGTCTGATCCGCGGGGGTCCCGTCGTGTTTAGAAATGTAGTTTTAGAGGAGTCGTTGATGACTTTAAAGTTTATTTCAATGGCGCTGTCTAACTAAGTCCACAGACTGTCTGATCCGCGGGGGTCCCGCCGTGTCCATGGACTAGTCTACAGCCTATCTGATCTGCGGGGGTCCCGTCGTGTCTATAAACTAGGCTACAGCCTATCTGATCCGCGGGGGTCCAGTCGTGTCTATAAACTAGTCCACAGCCTGTCTGATCCGCGGGGGTCCCGTCGTGTTTAGAAATGTAGTTTTAGAGGAGTTGTTGATGACTTTAAAGTTTATTTCAATGGCGCTGTCTAACTATTTATTTATATCAAGCAAAACTGAAACTCGACCAGTGTAATTTCCTTACATTTTGTAGAAGGTCTTTCAAATCTTTAATTACATACCCTTCAAAGAGGAAGTCATTTTTGAAAATCAATAAGATATACTTAAAAATGCGATCACAACATGTAGCTTCTGGCCTGGGAGCATCCCTCTTCGGTATTGAATGTTAAGTTTAATTTGTTTGCTGTAGATTTGGGTTGTTACACGTTATATGTCTACACTGTATAAGTAATGTTAACGGTATCTAGCTTCCCGAATAACACTGGATCCTTGCAAACGTATTGTTGGTTTGGTACCAATTACATTATATGGGGCAAGGAAGAAATCCTTAGAAAAAATACATAATATACATAGAAGAAAGTTTTATGTGCGATACGGGACGCCGGTTTTGTATGTTTGTTTTATATATGTATCAAATAAAAAAAAAAAAAATTGTTTACATTATATCATGAATTCGAATTGAGATATGATAATCTACTGATTTTACAGATATCAAAGACGATATCACGAAATTGATACACCATTAAATCGAATTTGTGATATCATTAAACATCTCTATTTAATGATATAACAAACTGAATAAATAAAATTATAATCACAAAACGATTTAATCAAATAAAATTTCATGAATAAATACAAAAACGGTGCCCATTAAGTCACCGTTTTCAGAAACGGTCTCAAAACTTTCCCCCGTCTCTAAAATCTTAAAAGTGGAAAAAATAAAACATTAATTTGTGTCTTAACGTCTGCTGGTTGCCAGTTACGAAACAGGCACGTAAGCTGAATTTGAATTACAATTTTAAATAAAATTTGCACTTATCGCGAGCCTCCATAGCTCAGTGGTTAGAGCACTGGTCTTGTAAACCAGGGGTCGGGAGTTCGATCCTCCCTGGAGGCTGATTTCGATAAATCATTATTTTTCTTTTCCAATAATATCTACTTTAAACACTTGTTTGCATTAACAAACATGAAGAAACGTTGATTTAAAAAAAAAAAAAAAAAAAAAAATCCTGTCAACCGCCATTTTCAAGAGCAGCACACAAACAGAATCTTACTGAACTCATTCACCCCTGATGACACATTTGAACTCTTCCAATTCAAAGGTTGGAGTAGTTTATTATGAAAATTCAGGGGTGAATGCTTTAACGAGTGTATCACAATTTGTAAGAATACTACTTCATGCTGTATGATATATTTCTGTTTTACTCATAGGCTAAATGTAAACTTTACATTTGATTTGATATAATTTTTTGATAGGGTGTCAATTAAGCGCATCCCTTTCCACTTGATAAAACCACACAGGAATGTGTTTGGAAGGAAATACCTGTAGTAAATAAGTTCATGTCATTTCCACTCAAAACCCAGAACCCAGAACCATTTATTCAGAATGATTTATTAGTACAAATAAAAGTGGTCATATTGTAAAAAAAAACATGAAAAAAACATCAAAATGCAGTTAGAACAAGTTTGAATGACGGAACAAATTCCCACCAAATTAAGTAGGAGTTGCTATGGCAGTATTATATAAACCAAAATGGTGTCGGCCCCTGATTGCTAGTCGAAATTAGAATAGTATGTTTCTAAGTTTTAAAAGACTGTTTCTTGAAAAGATGTCATATGACTGAATTGCCTTGTTATATTTGAAGGGTGCGTCCTTCCCACTGAAATCCTGAGGTGAGAGCAGACGTATATGTGTATATACATAAAAGATTGCAAATACGAATCTGTCATTGCCAAATGACTTCTCATTTCTTTTATTTTTTAGGTATATAAATCAATTTGATACATTACCTTAAACTCGGTGAAAAACAGAGTATATTTTTGGCTGACATACAGATTTTAGAAAGTGACTTATAGGTTTTAGAAGTAGAAGTTTAAATATTTGTAAACCGCTGAGTTTTAATTGAAACCATCTGAAAAAAGGACGGAATTAAATTTTGGCCAAAAACCCAGTTGGAACAATGGTAGTTGTTGGAGCAATGCTAGTTGTTGGAGCAATGCTGGAGCAATGCTAGTTGGAACTCTTCTTGGTCATAGTTTTCTGAAATCCCAAGAAATATTTAGATAATAAACAAGTGGATTATTTTGGCAATTTCCCTGGGGTTTTTGCCACAATTTTTTTTTTTTTTAAATGGGATTTTAAAATGGTGATTAAATATTGTTTATAAAATCAAACTATGTGTCAAAAATCTATTCCTAACACATAAAAGTTTTTTTTACAAATAACAAAAACTATATAATGGAAAAAAAAAAAGAGTCTTGTGGAATTTCAAAAACGGAAAATATTTCTGGTACAGTTTGGTATTAAAAACAGTATTTGATGAAAAAAACATATTTCCAGGTTAAAAACTCTTTTCTCTCTACCCCACAGCCTTGTAAGTCAGCTCTCAGTTTGGTAAAATTTTACATATCCACCACTTGAGAATATGTTTCTTATCAAACTTGGTTGATATCCATCTCATAATTTCTGAGAAGGAGTCTAAGGCTTTCTTGCATATTTCTCCCCTTAGTCCTGCCCCTCAACCGCCTGGGGGGGGGGGGGGGGGGGGTATAAGCCCACATTAGTCCCGCCCCTTAACCCCCTGGGGGGTATAATCACACTACTGGTACAATTTTGAATCGTCATCAACTGATTTCTGTCAAATTTAGTGGAATTCCGATGAGCGGTTCAGAAGGAGAAGTTGTTTGAAGACATTGTTGACAGACGGATAGACAACATGGTATGCAGCATGACTTTATCTTGGTCCTACAGACCAGGTGAGCTAAAATGTGTAATGTAATCAAATAAAAAAACAGACAAAGATTTATTTTGTTTTGTATTTATTTTATATGTGTAAGCTCACATCACACATCAACATTTTCAGCTTGTTAATGTATAAAAGCTTAACTAAGTAATAAAAACTTCATGCATACAATAATTTATATGTTTAGCAAACAATAACAAACACTACTTTCCTATTACATTTACTTAAGCCATTTTGAATGGTTCTGAATGATAACAGCTAGGAAAATGATCAAATTTCATGATCATAAAACTCATCAATAAACAAGCGAACTCTCTTACACATGTATAGGTAACAAATGGAACCGAAGTGAAGCAATGTCACTTTTTACACTGATCACATAATATAACAGAATTTGCCTCATACACAAGAAATAATAGGCAAAATATATATAAAAAAAAAAAAGAAAAATGCAATCACTTTCACATTCTCTTTCATAACACTCTCACAATTATGTTGGTAATTCTGTACCTTTTTTACCATATAAAAAATCATGTACAGTACTCAACATAATAAACACCCTTGGCATTTAGTAATTTGGGAAAATTAGAATGAAAACCTTTCAAATTTCCCCTAAAAAGGCAAGTTTTTACAGAACAATGTATGTTGGTAGATTGCGGCAACAAGATGGAAGCTCTTACATGGTATTGGGTGATTATTAGAATGAATACAGCACAAACCCAATAGGCCATAGGGCAGTCTCTTGAACAACCTGTTGAGCCTAGACATACCCGTCACCTAATTCATAATTTTAAAACACATATACATGTAATTTGTGCATATGTATTGCTTTTAAATTCATTTGAATTATAAATGAAAACATGAACACAGTAAAAAGAAAACCAGAATATATGGTATTTTGTCAACAATTTTTTTCTGTATTATAAACAAACATTGTATGATCTAGCACTTGGTGAAGTGACTGGTATGAAGAAAACAACGGTTCATAAAATCAAGCCCTCCTTCTAAGAATTCCCAGGACTCATTTCCTTATACAAAAACTTCTTACTTCAAAAATAAGGAAGTTTGATGCTACAGACCAGCTTCTGTGCATTCTTAGTTGACAACTTTAGATCACTAAATAGCCATTATCAGGACAACCCTAGCATAAAATGAGGCTACTGAAGTACAAAAAAAGTGGTTGTGAAACTGTAAATTGTGATGTCATGGATATGTATAAAAGGGGCTATAATTACAGTCAAACATGTATGAAAAGACCACCCTCCCTAAGTCCATAAAATTATCTTTAATTCAGGGTTGCCTCTTAACTGTTTCACCCCTGAAGACACATTTGAACTCTTCCAATTCAAAGGTTGGAATAGTTCATTATGAAATGTCAGGGGTGAGTGAGCAAATCACAGGTAGTAAATTAATAAAGTTGGTCTCTCAAGCAGGTTTGATTGTAATTTACTGAAAATCCTGTGATGATCATATAGCATAGATGTATTGTCTTCTCTGTACAAAATCCTGTGATTATCATATAGCATAGCTGTATTGTCCTCTCTGTACAAAATCCTGTGATTATCATATTGTCCTCTCTGTACAAAATTGTATGTTAATTGTCATTTTCCTGAAACGGTTCTCACTTGTTGCTTCCAAAATATCTGTCTTTATTATGAAGACATATTTTACATGGACATGGTTATGTTATATAATAAACAGAGATTACCAGGTATAACACAAACCACTGCTTAAGGCAGTCCGAGTTGTCTCCCTTTGATGGTTCACTACAAATTGTATAGTGCTTGTTTAACCCATTCACCCCTAAAAACACAGTTGAACCTTACCAAATCAAAGACTAGGTAAGTCCAGTTTAATTATATAGGAGTGAATGAGTTAAAAGTAATGAAAAAAATATGGTTGGCATTAAATACTGTATTTGGTAGGGAAAGAGGAAACTCAGATTTATAAGGAAAGGTGTATGAAAAATAGTAAATTATTAGAAAAGATATATATAAAAAATATCCATAATATAATAATGCATGGAATGAGATTAAGTGTGGTTATATAGTAAAGATCTACTGAAGATGAGTATTAAAATATCACATGATGTCATTTAACATCAGAAAAATATCACAAAATTTTAACACAGGGTCATGAATTTATATAGATTTGACAGTAGATCGATGAATATCTAGTGAAATAAAACGCTTCTGTTTGCAAATACAAAGGTTTCACGATACATTTACTTTTAAATGCACACATACTCCAATCCAACTTATACTGCAACTACGTACATATATATGCATAGCTTCTGACAGGTCACACATTTCCCAAACACACACATAATCACTTCCATACTGACAGACTTGTCGCTTGCACAGCCGTTCCTGCACCAACTGTCACTGGTCACATAAAGTGTCACTGGTCACATAAAGTCAGTCATGGGCTGATTGACCTGTCACACCCTGGCCATTCATTGACCGACTGATCAGCCACAACTAGCCACTCATTGGACAACAGACTGGTTACATACAGCCATTCCTGGGCTGACTGACCGATCTCATACAGTCACCTTCCTGTGCTCACTGAGAAGTTACATACACAGCTATTGGTATACTGAGTGGTCAGTCACATACATACAATTCATAAGCTCAGCCTACGATACATTACAACATACAACATCATTTCCACAGCACGAGTCATGGGAGGTAACTCTCGGGTCCTTATCTGTACGAGTCACTTCAGCAGGCAACAACTGTTGCAGGTCATCAACTATGAACGGATGTGTGGCCCCAGAATCATGAGCCATGTCAGTTTTATCTGTCCTTACGTCACAAAAATTCTCACCCTCTCTTGTTCCTAAACAAACCCCCGATTTATTGTCCGTTTCAATACTGACACCAACCATTGCATTCCTGTCTAACTTGACGGTGTTTCCACGCGGAGAATCTCCAACTGATAAACTTCTATGTAGAAAACCACCTTGTTTATCTGTCTTTAAATTCTGCATAGCAGAAAAATCTAAAATCATTGCACTAAGAATGTTATCAACGGTGTCCGATTTGATTATCTCCCCTTGGTCTGTATTGACCTCGTTTTCTGTAACATTTACATGTACTTCCCCCGAGTTTGTGATGAGCTCCGATGTTTCTTCTGAGGTAGAATCTGTCTGAGTTTTCTCTAGGATGGCTTCATTGTCTGATAAAGATATTGCAACAAGACCGGTTTCTAATTGTTCTGCTTCCTGTCCAACAATTTCCTGTGTAATTGGATCCACTTCCTGTACAGCTTGGTCCACTTCCTGTGTAGCCGGAATTACAATGTTCACATGGCCAGTTTCACATGCAGGAACATTGTTTTCAACAGGATTTTCTTCTGCTACAACCCTTGCTTCTGATTCTGTTGTCTGAGTCTCAGTTGGTATTACCTCATGATCACTTGTTTCATTTTCCATTGTCACATTGTTTAAGGCATTGTTAATGTTGTTTAGCTCAATTTCCTGATTGGTTAATTTTGCCCCATCAGCATTGTTTGCAACATTGTCAGAGACAACAAAACCATAATTTCTTTCAAAAACGCGTCCTTCAATATCCCCTCCCTCTATGGAAATTTTTACATTTTCTTCAAAATCAGTTTCAGTAAGGTCAGGTGAGAAGAGCGGAGACAGGGCGTCGCCCCAGTTTGGGTTATAGAAAAGGAAGAGAACGGCCTGTATGCAGTGCTCAAGGGTCATGTTAGGGTCCCACTCTCCGGACTCTAGCAGACTGACACAGATATTTGTAGCATCGTCTGAATCATCTGTGTCAATATTTGGATGGTATATCTCCGTGAGACAGCGCACCTCTGGTGGACATTCCGGGTACTCGTTAACCACATAGATCTGAAACAATGTGAAATATGGGTAAGTGAAAGTGGAAACTAAATATATTTGATTATCACAAATCTCTTTTGATTCAGAATTGATACAAAAAAGAACATGCATTTTGATGCAATAAACCCTGAAGGCTAAATCTATGATAAACTTCTGACCACAACTAAGTTCTACTCTAAATGGTACTATTACTTTATCCTCCATATACCCAGGCATAAATGCCAATATAACCCTAAATATACAATGACCACATAACCTTACACCTGCAATGCCCACATAACCTTACACCTGCAATGCTCACATATTACCTTACACCTGCAATGCCCACATAACCCTACACCTGCAATTAATGCCAACATAACCTTACACATGCAATGCCCACATAACCTTACACCTGCAATGCTCACATTGCCTTACACCTGCAATGCCCACATTGCCTTACACCTGCAATGCCTACACAACCTTACACCTGCAATGCCCACATAACCTTACACCTGCAATGCCCACATAACATTACACCTGCAATTACCATATAACCCTATATACGATGCCCACATAACCTTACAAACCTGCAATGCCCACATTACCTTACACGTGTACTGCAATGCCAACATAACCTTACACCTGCAATTACCATATAACCCTATATACCCTTACAAACCTGCAATGCCCACACAACCAGACATCTGCAATTACCATTAATTATAAAAGTTTCACTAACTTGTATTTCTCCAACAAAGTATGTGTAATATTTAGTAATTACAACCAATGCATACATACGCGGCAACCATAATTCCTATTTATAGAAACTGATTAATGATCATAGTTACCTCAAACTCGAATTTGCCCCCTTTGTAGGCCCCATCTGACGGAGCCACTTCTACTTTGATGGACCCGTGATGTCGCTCGTTTTCCACATCCTCCCCTTCTAGGGAATCCACCAAGACCTGGACCTGGTCAGCTGTCACACTCCCGACGGACTTTATCAGGGAGTTGACGTCCCTCAGGAATGTTCGTTTCTTTGTCATTTTGACCTGTTAACAATCGGCTACCGTAACTTTGTGTTGATTTTATGTGTGTGTACCAGAACGTTGACTTCGTGTGCTTTCCGTTTACCTAATCGCATGATATAGTTGTTACGTTGTTCCTCTGTAGCTGTCAACGTCTGAATACCACTGAAAGGCCGCTGGAAAGTTCCTTGATATAGGCTTTAGTCGGGCCGATTCTAAAAATATATATTACCGTGAGCTTGTGCAATCATGAACCGGATCTCTCTGGAGTTATTATTAGTCTTGCAAGGCAATAGTCCAAGGGGTATCGAATAGTATTTCTCTCTGCATGCGATGATGAAATCCCATGGAAATTACTAGTTAGACTTACCCAAGTCCCGTTTTATATTTTTGGAGTACTTGGATCGAATTATTTTGTGTTTTATATATACGGATTTTTTCCAGTTATTTTGGGAAAGGGACCATGTCCTAAAATTGGAAGAAAAAGTTTGACGTTTTCTACGTTTTTAGGGAAATAGTAAACCAAAATTAACCATAACATACATACACGTGCATAGGCCTATAGACATAATGTATTTTCAACTGTGTAATTTAATTCTGACATATACAATGTGACTATATAAACCATGTTATGTAGTGTAGAATGCAGCAAAGAGCTTTAAATTAGTTCTGAACATGAAATTAATTAAAGGACGACGGTNGGGGGGGGGCTGTTATAAAGTGAATACATGGTATTCAATAATTAAAAATCATCCAATATATCAGTTTATTTCTTGATATGGTTAGATCAATATGTCGACTCTGTGACAGAAAACACAAAAAGATTCATTTAGCCGAAACCTTCATACCTGTCTAATTCCATATAATTATCTAGACTAAAATTAATTAGTGGCAGGAATGTCCCTACATAGGCACCATACGATTTGTAATGTGTTTTTAAAGTATCAGATGATTTTGCCGAGGTTCTGCGCTCAGCCTCCCGTATTTTGCAGATGATATGGATTTTCTCCTTGCATAATATTACACTCAATAATGGGCAGTAGAGTAGTACACGTTCATGATCAGAGTCTATGCTCTTCCAACCCCTATCCCCTTTAATTTATATTTACAAATATTTGTAACATAAACTGTACATTAGTACTAAACAATGACCTTGGTTTTTAGATAGCTACTGTTACTAGGTCACTGTGTATAACAATATTGGATTACAACATATTACGTCAGATAATGTCTCAACTGTGTTTAACTACTAGCTAGATATGTTACCTATCATGTATTTAAATGTTATATCACTATAGATATAGCTGAATTGGCTGACTAGGATAGCCTATGTGTTACTAGAACTGATCTCAACTCTGACGTATCCAGAACTCTGACTTACAAATTGATCTACATTCCAACATATATATATATCGTAAGGCCAATGACATCATGGCGGTGTTTTTATAGGAAAATAGCCTTCTGCTTCTACGGGACACTGACCAACTTCAACAGTTCGAAGATTAATGTCAGAGAAGGGTTGAGATGGAAAGAGGAAAGTTTTCGACAGATGAAATTTACTTTGTGTTTACAAAGTGACGGTAGAGGCTTGTTTTGAAAGAGTTTGTTGTCAGGCCAGACACATGCAGTATCAAGTTTAATTTGGTTTGGGACGTGTCAGGTTTTGTGGTGGAGGAAAGCCGGAGTTCCCGGAGAAAAACCACCGACCTACGGCCACATAGGCCTCGAACCCGCAACCCAGTGACCATAACAGAGTGGTAACAGATTGTCAGATGCCTTAACCACTTGGCCACCGCGGCCCCTTTCTAATCACACACTAACTACAATATCGTAAGTAATGGTGACGTGAATGTAGATCTACTAGCCATGAGACCTACCTCACATCTATCAAAGTTAGCAAAACATATCACAATTACGAAATATAATATTTTGTAAACGCTGACACGCCTAACACATTCTACAGCTACTCATGTTGTGATGATAGATCTCCAGATACATTTGTAACAAGTTTCAAAAATATTTCAAAACTGAAACACTATAGTCGAAACATTGAAGACAAAGTTAAAATTATCAACAACAACACACCAAAATACAATACAATGTCGTAAAACATTTGAAATTTAAAATGGTTAAGTTTTAAAATATTAGTTTTCGTAATTGTGATATTTTTTGATAATTTTGATAGATGTGAGCTGTCACATTATATCGGAAAACAGGAATATCGCAATACACGGGATTATCGTATCGCACCACAATACAGACATGAAATATTGCTGAATCGAAATATTTTTCAAAAGTATATGTTTATGCATCTGCTTGGTAATTTAACTTTGCAAATTACTACAAACTCTAACAGATGTGCCAATAAACATAAAGCAGGCTTTTAAAATTTCAACTTCGCTGGTTGGTTTGACAAAATTTTTAAGTCTATATAATCCATATTATCAATTAATATATGATTAAGTTTGATAGCATTCTGACAACAACTTATAAAATTGAGCACATCCTTTTCTATGACAATATATCGGGATACGTATCGCAGTATATTCATTCTGTATTGTAATATATCGTGATACATTCTTGATGTATTTTGACCCCCTATTAAATATACATGTACCTGAATGCAAATTTATAAATACCTAAGACATCGTCATTCCTTGTACATGGATAAATGGAATAAAATGGAATATATATACTATAAGGAATTTTATATCGGTTTAATGTTCAAGAAATAAACATGTACTTTAAAAATCCGATTGAAAAATGTTATTGCTGAAAATTTCACCAACCCTGTTCCGCGAAAACACTTAAAATTAAAAAAAGGCATCCTACAGGTTTGGGGGAAATGGCCTGCTGTATCCCATAACATGTTATTGTAAAAGTAGACTAATGTGGGGCCACAATACCACAATTTTAGTGCATACATTTATTCTACCACGTCGGCCATATAACGACATTTCGTTGAGAAGGGAAGGTAACTCAAAAAGTTACCTGACCCAGAGACGTATAATGAAGTCTCTGTTTGATCTAAATCTGGTTGATCTGAATGTGCATGAAGGACATCTACATCAATCAGTATAAATAACAGTTAACAAAATATTCACACGACCGTTAAGAGGAATATTAATGGACGTAGCGATTTTAGAGACAACGAGTTAGTTGTTAGGACTAAATCCAGTAATTGTCAGTAATAAAGAATGTCTCTAACGAACATTTCTTTATATGAAAACAAGTGGGTGCTTTTTGGGAAGTAATTTTTCAAAAGGATTATTTGTATCTACCGCCGAGCAGAGCGAGTCGATAGTGTTGCTTAGGTTCATGTAATGTTAATGGGACAGAAGCAATATTATCGGTGGCAGCGGAATTTTTTCTTTCTTTTTCAATTTTAATTTCAAAATTACATGTATTTGCCAAAAACAGCTGAAAACACTTCTACGTTACGCTCCTGAATAGGAACTTAGCGAAATATTTTCATTATTTTTTAGAAACCTATTTCTTCCTTTAGAACTTCCAGAAGGTTGAGTTGTAAATTATTATGTATGTGGACGGTCAAGCGATGAAGTCTGACAGCGGAGGTGATATCTGTGTAAAGGGGAGGTCACTCTAACAGTACAAACAAAGGTTGCTACGATGGACCGACCTTATAATTAACACCGCTTCATTTATCTTCAAATTGACTTCATTATGGACTCGGAGGCAGCGTGCAAGGTTTGTGGTAGGCTGGAGAGCGTAATGAAGAGGTGCACGCGATGTCGCCGCGTGTTTTACTGGTATGTGTTATATGTATACACCATTTTTTTTATGGACGTCACCTGTTTTGACGGATACGTAAATTACAATGTGGATTATTATGTACTGAATTGACTGCTATATCATAGACTACTTCGAAAACAAAAAGCCACACATATTTTCATACATACACATTTAACATCAATTTGATCATCTGTGTTAGCATTGCTAAAACACCGTACACACGCCCAGCGCCTTTAAATTGACATTAGCAGATTAGGCCTAGGTTACGGGGATCTAAGAATGCCAACCCCTCTGATATCATTATTAGGGGTGACATATCATTGGGGGTGGCATTTTTACCGAAAGTTTATCTAAACCCCTAAAACGTGTAAAATAACTCTAAACACCTTAGGTTAGATCCGAATGTAGCTGTAACAAATTCTCATATCCCTAGGATTCTGCTTGCCCAGATTACAAGACTATACATGTACAGTTCACTGACGCAGAAATGGACTACAATTTTGGTTTTATCATGTGGTCTGGAGAAGGGAGTGGCTTTCAAAGTTATCTTTAATCCAGTAAATGAAAATGAAAAGATGTTGTGGTTGAAATAATGTGGAGGGGTAACCCACCCAGCCCTAGATAATATTTGGATTAAGTTGAAGTACTGGTGACATTTTTTTCTTACGGGTTGCTTTCTCTATTTATAGCAGAAAGTAACAAAATCCGACCAATACCAATCTAATTTGTATGTAGAGATTTTACTTTCACTAGGGTATCACATAAACCATGTTCTACACCACCGTGAAGTATGTCTGCTCAGCTATCCATCGGGTTGTAGGGTTTTCCACATTATTGAAATTAATGTGCTCCTTACGTATGTATTTCGTGTTCTTTCTGAGTTTAGGATTGTTTGAAGATAATATAAAAACAATAACTGGTAGAGATATGGTTATTTCATCTTCCTCGGTGTTTATTGCAGTCGTTTTCCGTAGGGGTCTATTTTTATTTTTAAACTTTATCTGTAACAGAAGTCGAGCCCAACATTAGATGTATTACAGTGACTTGCCAATGTTAAGTTCCAGACAGTGCCAGTTGCGTGACTGGGTGACACACAAGTATACCTGTGTCCGCCAGACGGAGGGAAACTCTACTGATCGGACACCTCCCAAAACCGACACACTGTCCACGACAGACACACGAAAACAGTACAGAGACGATGGTACCATTTTCACGGATGGTAATTTTTTTAGTGTTGACTATTACATTTTAAATAGATCTTTCAATCAAGTTAAAACAAATTGCATACTAATTGTATTTCTTTCTATTTTTTGATAAATATTAATAACATGTAGTTATAATGGGGTTTGGAACCAACTAGTGGACAACTAATGCAACCAGAAAATCCCCCCCTGTCCCTTCTTTCACCTTTTCCCTTTCTCCTTGTTTTTTCTCTCTCATGTCAATCAGTAGATTGTCTATGTATATATATATATATATGCTGAGTTTGTTACCCTCAGATTCCCGGATACTGTAGTACAAACAATAAACTCCAATCGTATGGTACTATTTTGTATTAGACTTGAAGGTAAGCGTAGACGTGTGCCTAGCTCAGAGGCTTACAATGGAACTGCCTTGTTACATACAGGATACTCTCAATATACCTTTACATGACAATTAATTAACTTAACAATAACCAGATGAAAGATAACTGAAACAGCAATTAATTTACCACTTGACTTTCAGATCATTATTTCACTCTTAACAC